CGTTGAATTCGACGAGGGTCAAGCTGCTGAACTGAATGCCCCAATTTATGGTCAATACTGATCTGCATGCATTTTTTGTCCAAATATTTCGATATGCTACTGTCAAATATAGAAGTAGTCTCATCAGAATGTAAACTATGGTATTCACAATAAGCAATTATATGCTTTAGTAATGTTCGCCGTCAGAAAAGGACTTTTTCTAATTGTATCCACAACCAGGAATGCCAAAGCCATTTAATGTGCATCGCATAATTTTTCATTTACCTTTGCCATTATACCTCGGCAAAGATGGCGGAAAGTAATCCGTGCTGTCTGAATAAATGTGTAAATTGAGAACCGAAGAATCCATTTTCTTTGTTTGGTATACATGCATGCTTATTTATTTATCTTATATTTATTATTATTGTTATTTTTTAATATTATATGGTTTTGGTATTAATATATAAATATTTATTTACAGTAGTTTTATTGTTTAAAGAATGGTTGATCTGCCCTCGAAGGACAGACGTAAGTTTAGCACAGAGTCGCAGAACGGTAAATCGAGGAGTTGCTGGTGCCATCCGACAGTCATCACTCGAAAAACCATCTTCTTTCGGTTTCCGATTAGAACGATTTACAAATTCCTTCCAAACATCTTTTCCATCAAAACGAGCAGACTCTTTAGGTTGCCATGACAGACGGCCAGTTGCTGGGGTGACCAATTATTGCACGTTAATCTTCTGTCGTGCAGGCGAAGATAGGGCAGAAACAGGCTGAATACTCGTGGATGGGTAGAATGATGCCAAATTTGAGGGGGTCGTGGGGAGTAAATAACTGTATCGTCCGTCAATTCGGGCAAAATAGGTCTGGGCAGATTGGCTGCATTTCTCAGACTTTTAAGGCCCGGCAACTGCGTTCCCAGCGCCTGCCGAGTGCTGGGAAGCGCGGTGTCCCGGGACGTCGGATCGACACACACACAGGCCGGGATTTGGACCAAAGACGCATGAAGAGTGGATAAATTGACGAGGCCGTCTTGACGTGGAGGATGCATGCGGCTGGAAAGGGGTTAGACGAACTTGACTTGGCGCATCATTGGCCAGACCGGTTAAGGGTGGTGTTGCTGGGCGATGAGGTGCGCCGACCAGATTGCCCAGTTTCACAGACACACACGCTGTCCGCACAGCCTCCTCTCGCCATCGGACCCGATTCAGGTAGGCACTGAGAGGCCCATTAAAGTCCTTCAACTTCACGCGTTGTCTGCGGTCAGCACCGAAGCGACTGGTAGACTTCAGTTTAGTGCTTTTTGGTGGAATCAAATTTTATGTCCCGACAAACGCGCGAGGCAATTTCGCGACAGACCGTCAAATGGCCCCCTTCTGGCTGCGGAAGGTGCGGTTCTCGTAGTCAAGTCGACAGGAGTGAATTGGATTGAAAAGGTCCGCATTTATCGGTTGATGAAAATGAAAAAAAAGACTAATTGTGCAGCTATTTCGGTCTTTTCATGAGACGATTTGGTTGGATTTCTCGCCCACACGACTGACCGGTATTGTGAAACCGGTGGAGTAGGGCGCAGGTATGAATTTGCATGGCCGTGTACACCGGGCTTCGGGCTCGAGTCCCGCTTCAAGCAGTACTCCGTCGCGGGCAGACCCACTCAGCCCTGCCGACATCACAACTCAACAGATGGTGTTGAGAAGACAAGTCGAGTTGCCAGGATTGATGCTGTAGCATGGCGTGACCAGATGCCGAGGGGGGATTGAAGGTTGGAGTGTGCAAAAAGACATCTTCTCAGCACCGATTCCTCGGAGACTTCTCGGCGCAATCCTCCCTCGGTATCCGATGAAGCCAATTTATGTACCCCTTCCATTCGTCTTTTCAACCGACATGAAAACTATTTCAGCATCAATCTGTCAAGGCATTCTTCGAAACCCAGATTCTCTTCGTTTTTCAGCCTCGCTCGAAACACGAGGCGACTAACGGCAAATCTGACCGTCATGAAGTGGAGCTGACGCCCAAGCAAAGCACACTCGAAGCACGTAATTGCACAAATTCATACCTTTATTCTTTTCAGCAATTCTTCCCCAACTGTTGAGCCTACTTCCATTTCGACTAAAAGTGTTTGGTGAAGAGATTCGAACTTTGATCCCACCAGAAGACGATCTTGACCAGTCGTCGATTGGCTCTACTTGGACATTCTTGCTGACGGTGTTTCCGAGGTGATCTTCTTCGATTTCGGTGAAAGTGTGCCCAGCTTTCGTCCGTCATATGACGGAAATCATTCAAGTCAACGAGTCCACATTTTCTTTTCTTCCACCCATTACGGAGTCCTTACAGATTCGACAGAGTCACACAACAATGAGCCGATGCCTTCTTTGCGCAATCCAACTGTCAAAAGTCCAAGATCATCATCATTCGCTATCTGGTCAAGCCAACTTACGAATCCTTTCCACCGACTTTTCAGACGTCGGCAGAGATAAAATTCACATGCGTTCTCATCAACTCTGTCGAATTGAACAATAAAGACTTTAATGAAACACCAGAAGTGACATGATCCTGTTTGAGTATGACTTTATCAATGTCTATCCATCGAATAGATTCCAGCATTTCAGCCTCCTTCAAGTTATGAACCTTCCACCATCTTTCACTCTTCCACCTTCAGCCGGGAAACCTGAGAGATGAGAGCCTAGCAGCCACGATTGCAAGAAAGTTTGTTGGACCCTTAATACACTCTAGACGGCGGATAACGTCTACTTTTGCAGACTTGACTGAAGATGTTTGTCCGTGGTCTGCTTTGATGAATCCGGCTGGTCCATTCTGTATAAAGTAGGCTTCCGGATCACTCAACTGGTTCTACCGTTCAATCGAAATGAGCCGAACACTCGTCTCAAGAATAGACCTTTTCTGGCTCAACAGAACGCAACCCGGGCATAGGAGATTGAAGACCACGAGCTGAGGGTTGTCTTATCAACCAATTGTGAAGGAAAACTCATGTAAAATTAGGTCATTTATGAGTAGAGTCGAATTGTTTACAGTTGGAAACTTATTCGTCTGGACACCAACCTAAGAGAACTAGAGTGACTCTATACAAACTCCATAGAAAAGTTCTGAAAGGTCTATGCTAATCATACTGGCTAGTAGACATTTCTACTTTCAGTGTGAGTAGCTTTCGAGGTTTGATAGTTGAGATTTTACCAAAAACTTCTTGCGAATGTAAGCTAGCTTTGATACAGAAAAGCGAAGTTTTCATTCTACTCACATCGAAATTAAGTAGTGTCGACGATCGTAATGACAAAGATTGTCTGCTATAAATTGAGAGTTTGCAGACGGGGGTGGTGGACTGCCAGTGACCCACGACCAGGGTTCGAACCCCACTGGGGTCGTAGATGAGACCGGCTCATGCAAGCTAGAAGCTGCAGCCCAGTCCAGCCGGGATGAGATGGGCTGTAGAGAGTCAACCATTTGATCATGTGTGAAAGATTAACTATCATTCCGCAATTCTAACCGCCATGCAGGAAAAATGCCAGTAATCGAAAATTCCACAATAAAAATGTGTATATTTTGCGTAAAGGTGTGACGCAGTTGTGACGCGTTGAATATAAACGCCGCCCTGGCGCAACCCATTTTTGATTCCCGTTCGAGCCCGGACGAAATCCCCTCTCGGTCGGCCAGTCTTTTCACATGATTTTGTGAAAATGTATCATTTTATGCTCAAATGAGTGATCAAAATGTTGTCAATCGCGGGAATTTCGGACTCACCTGCACCATGTAGGCCTTGTCCTCGCGGATGTTGCTGATGGTCGTCCAATCGACCATGCCAACATCGAAGCTGGGCGGCATTCGGTCGCCAGACGGCGCGGCGGAGGTCTGCGGCGCCGGCCAATAGGAGACTCGGAACCCTTCTATCGTTGGCTCGTTCGACCTCGTCTCGGGGATCTCCCATTTGACGCGCACCTGATGCGCATTGATGCGCACCACCTCGATTTCCGTTGGCGGAGGCGGCACTGTACCGGGCAGATGAGTCCGGTTGTCGGGCGGAAAAAGTGCAGAAATTGAACAATCAACGAAAAATCATTGCGCATGTAAGGCTGGTCTGGTATGTGATGGACAAAAGTGATGATTGTGAGTGTGTGCAAGCCGAACTGTCGCGTGGCGACGGAAGAGACAGACCCTTCCGTAGAGAATGGGTCAATCGAGCGCGAGTCTGAGACTGCAAGCGACAGAGACACACATTCACTCTTCACCTTAGTCCCACCCTCGTCTGGGTTTCGAGGCCCACACAATGTCTTAATCGACCATAAAACGAAGACAATCCCAACCCTTTTTCCCTGTAGCCTCGGCGATCAGGGCACATTTATTGTGAATCCCCAGTTTTATTGCGTAGAATGGGTCATACATAGGCCTAAATCATATACTTGTTTATTTATGCATTCTTTGGTAGCGGCAGACTTCTAAGTGGACCTCATAAAGGCTTTGATAGGAGATTAATGCTCTTTGAAAGGACTTTAGAAAGTGCGATTTATTAGAAGACATTTGTTTACCCTTTCAAAGACACCAATAAAACACACCCGAGCTAACTGTCAAAATCATCCGGCCAGCAATGCATCCCTCACTTTGGCCGCTTCTAAAATACTACTGATAGCACTACTTGTGTCTACTACTTCCTACGCGTCATCTGCTGCTAGAGCCGTGGTGTATGCTAAATATATAGAAATTGTATAATGATGACCATAAATGTATAATAATAATGAATAAGAACGCCGAATTTTAAGGCGTTTCAAATGGCTCGTGCTGGCAAGACGGATAGGCAGGCTTGTGTCTATGAAATGCGGCTTTTTGGCGACAAAACGACTCGACTTGACCGAGTTGAGGTTGGGCAGTCGAGTCGCTCCGGAGTCGGCGGGCGAAGTGTGAAGATGGCCGAATTGGTATCCTTTTTGAGGCCAACTCAAGCGTGCTTGTGTAAGAGCT